AAGCGCCCGGCAGGTGGCCAAATACTGCTGGGCCGCCAAGAGCGCCGGGAAGGGGTTTAAGGGCAGCCTAGGGCGCCGGGGAGCGTTTAAGGCCAGCCTAGTGCCTAACGTTGCTTTCTGAAACTAGGAGAAAATTTCAAACAAAGCGCCCGGCAGGTGGCCAAAGGACCTGCGGCTAGGCCACCAAGAGCGCGGGGGAGGGGTTTAAGGGCAGCCTAGGGCGCCGGGGAGCGTTTAAGGCCAGCCTAGTGCCTAACGTTGCTTTCTGAAACCAGGAGAAAATTTCAAACAAAGCGCCCGGCAGGTGGCCAAAGGACCTGCTGCTGGGCCGCCAGAGCGCCGGGAAAGGGTTTAAGGGCAGCCTAGGGCGCCGGGGAGCGTTTAAGGCCAGCCTAGTGCCTAACGTTGCTTTCTGAAACCAGGAGAAAATTTCAAGGAAAGCGCCCGGCAGGTGGCCAAAGGACCTGCTGCTGGGCCGCCAAGAGCGCCGGGAAGGGTTGAAGGGCAGCATAAGGCGCCGGGGAGCGTTTAAGGCCAGCCTAGTGCCTAACGTTGCTTTCTGAAACCAGGAGAAAATTTCAAGGAAAGCGCCCGGCAGGTGGCCAAATGACTTGCTGCTGGGCCGCCAAGAGCGCCGGGGAGGGGTTTAAGGGCAGCCGCCTAGGGTGCCGGGGAGCGTTTAAGGCCAGCCTAGTGCCTAACGTTGCTTTCTCAAACTAGGGGAATTTTTCAAACAAAGCGCCCGGCAGGTGGCCAAAGGACCTGCTGCTGGGCCGCCAAGAGCGCCGGGGAGGGGTTTAAGGGCAGCCTAGGGTGCCGGGGAGCGTTTAAGGCCAGCCTAGTGCCTAACGTCGCTTTCTGAAACCAGGAGAAAATTTCACGGAAAGTGCTGGGGAGGGGTTTAAGGGCAGCCTAGGACGCCGGGAAGCGTTTAAGGCCAGCCTAGTGCCGTTGCTTTCTGAAACCAGGAGAAAATCTCAAGGAAAGCGCCCGGCAGTGGCCAAAGGACCTGCTGCTGCAGCCTAGGGCGCCGGGGAGCGTTTAAGGCCAGCCTAGTGCCTAACGTTGCTTTCTGAAACCAGGAGAAAATTTCAAGGAAAGCGCCCGGCAGGTGGCCAAATGCTGCTGGCCCGCCAAGAGCGCCGGGAAGGGTTTAAGGGCAGCATAAGGCGGCGGGGAGCGTTTAAGGCCAGCCTAGTGCCTAACGTTGCTTTCTGAAACTAGGAGAAAATTTCAAACAAAGCGCCCGGCAGGTGGCCAAAGGACCTGCGGCTGGCAAGAGCGCCGGGGAAGGGTTTAAGGGCAGCCTAGGGCGCCGGGGAGCGTTTAAGGCCAGCCTAGTACCTAACGTTGCTTTCTGAAACCATGAGAAAATTTCAAACAAAGCGCCCGGCAGGTGGCCAAAGGACCTGCTGCTGGGCCACCAAGCGCGCCGGGAAGGGGTTTAGGGGCAGCCTAGGGCGCCGGGGAGCGTTTAAGGCCAGCCTAGTGCCTAACGTTGCTTTCTGAAACCAGGAGAAAATTTCAAGGAAAGCGCAGGGCCATGGAGGGGTTTAAGGGCAGCCTAGGGCGCCGGGGAGCGTTTAAGGCCAGCCTAGTGCCTAACGTTGCTTTCTGGATTCTGAAACCAGGAGAAAATTTCAAACAAAGCGCCCGGCAGGTGGCCAAAGGACCTGCTGCTGGGCCGCCAAGAGCGCTGGGAAGGGGTTTAAGGGCAGCCTAAGGAAACGAGGAGAAAATTTCAAGGAAAGCGCCCGGCAGGTGGCCAAAGGACTTGCGGCTGGCAAGAGCGCCGGGGAAGGGTTTAAGGGCAGCCTAGGGCGCCGGGGAGCGTTTAAGGCCAGCCTAGTACCTAACGTTGCTTTCTGAAACCAGGAGAAAATTTCAAGGAAAGCGCCCGGCAGGTGGCCAAAGGACCTGCTGCTGGGCCGCCAAGAGCGCCGGGGAGGGGTTTAAGGGCAGCCTAGGGCGCCGGGGAGCGTTTAAGGCCAGCCTAGTGCCTAACGTCGCTTTCTGAAACCAGGAGAAAATTTCACGGAAAGCGCCCAGCAGGGCCGGGGAGGGGTTTAAGGGCAGCCTAGGGCGCCGGGGAGCGTTTAAGGCCAGCCTAGTGCCTAACGTTGGCTTTCTGAAACCAGGAGAAAATTTCAAGGAAAGCGCCCGGCAGGTGGCCAAATGCTGCTGGGCCGCCAAGAGCGCCGGGAAGGTTGAAGGGCAGCATAAGGCGCCGGGGAGCGTTTAAGGCCAGCCTAGTGCCTAACGTTGCTTTCTGAAACCAGGAGAAAATTTCAAGGAAAGCGCCCGGCAGGTGGCCAAAGGACCTGCGGCTGGGCCGCCAGGTGGCCAAAGGACCTGCGGCTGGGCCGCCAAGAGCGCCGGGGAGGGGTTTAAGGGCAGCCTAGGGCGCCGGGGAGCGTTTAAGGCCAGCCTAGTGCCTAACGTCGCTTTCTGAAAAAACAAAGCGCCCGGCAGGTGGCCAAAGGACCTGCTGCTGGGCCGCCAAGAGCGCCGGGAAGGGTTTTAAGGGCAGCCTAGGGCGCCGGGGAGCGTTTAAGGCCAGCCTAGTGCCTAACGTTGCTTTCTGAAACCAGGAGAGGGTTTCAAGGAAAGCGCCCGGCAGGTGGCCAAAGGACCTGCTGCTGGGCCGCCAAGGGCGCCGGGAAAGGTTTAAGGCCAGGCTAGTGCCTAACGTCGGTTTCTGAAACCAAAAGAAAATCTCAAGGAAAGCGCCCGGCAGTGGCCAAAGGACATGCTTCTGGGCCGCCAAGGGCGCCGGGGAGGGTTTAAGGCCAGGCTAGTGCCTAACGTCGCTTTCTGAAACCAAGAGAAAATCTCAGGGAAAGCGCCCGGCAGTGGCCAAAAGCCATGCTGCTGGGCCGCCAAGGGCGCCGAGGAGGGTTTAAGGCCAGGCTAGTGCCTAACGTCGCTTTCTGAAACCAAGAGAAAATTTCAAGGACTAACGTCGCTTTCTGAAACCACGAGAAAATCTCAGGGAAAGCGCCCGGCAGTGGCCAAAGGAGCTGCTGGGCCGTCTGAAGCCAGGAGAAAATCGCCTGGAAAGCGCCCGACAGAGGGCTTAACGTTGAATAGGGGACGGCGTAACGTTCAATTGCATAGGGCTTAACGCCACTTTTTCTCGGGCGCGCTCCCCCTTGCTGATGGCAGGGGTCGGCGGATTCTCCCCAGCCCCGTTAAACTTCTACATTCATTGAAGATCTTCAATGAGGGTTTGATTCCTCCCAGCCCCGTTAAACTTCTACATTCATCGAAGATCTTTAATAAGGGTTTAATTCTCACCACCCCGTTAAACTTCTATACATTCATTGACGATCTTCAATGAGGGTTTATGTCTTCCAGCCCGGTTAAACTGCTACATTCATTGACGATCTTCAATGAGGGCTTAATTCTCCCCAGCCCCGTTAAACTTCTACATTCATGGAAGATCTTCAATGAGGGTTTAATTCCTCCCAGCACGGTTAAACTTCTACATTCATTGACGATCTTCAATAAGGGTTTAATTATCCCAGCACCGTTAAACTTCTACATTCATTGACGATCTTCAACGAGGGTTTAATTCTAATCATGATGATGATGGTGCTGATGATGATGATGATGATGCGTCGCCTGTCGTCATTGCGGATCCGGGCGAAACCCAGGCATTTGCCGTGTATATATATATATATTATAAAGCAACAAATTTTCTGGTTTCCAGAGTTTGCAGCCAAGATGCTGCAATTCAGTTCGTTTTTTGCGTGTTCGGTACATTCAAAAAGCAAGAAAGATAATTTTGACCCTTCAATGTTTTGAGGAGGGTGCCAATGGCCACAAGATTTGGACAATGTATGCAGCCACTCTTATGTCTCCTGTGCCAATCTAAGATTAAAAAGCTAAAGCCCAAGTGCCTGCTCCTCCACATTCATGTGCTGATGACTTCTCCTTTTCTACAGTGATACACGGCGAGTTGATTTAAAGACAAAATTAAATAAACCCTCCTTCTATATATTGCGCGCGCCAACTGAAACCCAAGACTTACAGAAACTTCACGCAGGCTTAGCCCAGTTACTCATGCATTACGCATTCAAAAGCTTGCAATCACCACATGCATACCCAGCTGGCAACTGAAGATGGAAACATCGTTCGATCACTGCAATCCCTGATGCAAGGCATTGCATCATGTGCTATATACATCTAGCGTGTCGCGCCGCGAAGCAACGCCGTGTGCACTCTTGCAAAAGGAAGCGTCGCAGCGCCAACAGCGTCGCAGCGTCGCTCCCGCGTCGCAGCGTCGCAGCGCCTACAGTGTCGCAGCGTGGATCCCGCGTGGCAGCGTCGCAGCGTCGCAGCGCCAACAGCGTCGCAGCGTCGCAGCGCCAACAGCGTCGCAGCGTCACTCCCGCAGCGTCGCAGCGCCAACAGCGTCGCAGCGTCACTGGCCCAACGGCAGCGTCGCAGCGTCGCAGCGTCACAGCGTCGCCGGCCCCTGGCAGCGTCGCAGCGTCGCAGCGTCGCAGCGCCACCCGCCTTCAGAGCGTCGAAGCGTCGCAGCGTCGCAGCGCCACCCGCCTCCGGGAGCGTCACAGCGCAACGTCGGAAACCCACGTTTTGGCCCCCTTTGCCCCTGCACTGGGATTCCAAGGCCGCGGAGATCAGCGAGATCATTCTGGGCGGCGAGGAGCAGAGATCAAATCATCTCAAGCTCCTCAATTTCATCAGCTGGGTGCATCATTTGCCCGGCATGCCCCAGGGATGGAGGTGAAAGCCGATGATGAAAGCGAAGCTTCTGAAAATGCGGCGGAGGAGGCGATCAGAAAGAGGGAGGAGGACAGACAGGAAGAGCTGCGGCTTGCAATGGAACAGTTCCCTCTATGGGCACGACCTCTGAAGATCGGTTGCAAGCAAGTTCTGGAGCTCGGACTGATCAATGTCGATCCTGATCAACATCGGCAACACCATGATGAATATCATCTGGAGGAACTACCCTGATTTCTGGGAGAACCGTGCCGTTCAGGCACCAGATACGAACACGGCCGAATCGACATACAATCAAGACACCGGTGGCGTGTTGAACCCACCAACTGAAGGACAAATTAGAGCGTGGTGGGAAGCGAGGGCCAGGCCGGAAAAGGTGCGACCTCAAAACACGACCTGAGCCGGCCGTGAACTCGAGTCTATGCCAATGATCATCCGGACCGTGATGAAGATTGAGAAGATGATGGAGTTCATGGTGGAAGCAGGACTCTCACCTCAGGACATTCAGAATCTGACGCCTACGGCCGAGGATCGATTGCACCACAACAGGAGGGTGAGGATGTGGGGAATAATCCAAAACTTCCTATAGATACATGGTGTCCTGAAGGGAGCCTTCCCGGAGAAGGAGAACTACGCATACTTTCGTGATGAAGAAGAATGCCAGCATACGGGAGAGAGACCTTGTCCCTGCCTGCATTGGGCGTGATCTTGGTTCAACGTGAACGCCAGCGCAATATCGAGATGTCCATGGAGGCAACGCACTGTGGAGTTACGCTCACCAAGGAAATGCAGGAACGCATGGAATATGCGTGGGCACTGGCCAAGACCAAGGAAGAGAAGGGGCAGAAAGGGCTCATCGACATGATGCTTCCTCGTATGAATCAAGAGCAGTGAGAGACGATGCGACGAGAGCGTGGCACTACGGCATCAGCAGCTGCTGCAGTGGAAGATCATTTGGAATCCACTTCCCGAGCATCTTCAAGCAAGAACCCACCAAGACCATCATCAGCATCAGACGTTAGCAAGACAAAGAAGCAGAAGAAGTAGAATGGTGAAGGAACACTTCTCGTGGTTCCTCCCGACAGTGGTCCGGATCCAGAGAATACTTCCTCTTTTCTACTTGACTGCAAATCTCTTTGCGATGACCATTGTGGATGACATCTTGGTGAAGACCAATTTTTGAAAGGAATCTGAGCAAGGCATTTTCTTAATCCCAATTGCCGGAATGGGATTCGTAGTGTCTCACCTCTCGTACTAGTGAATTGCAATTCGATAATCTTAATTCATTTCTTTTGTTTGCGACTGGTCTCACAGCGTGTACAGAGACAAAGGGAGCGGTAGTGTTCCTTCTGGAAGAGCCTAACCGAGCACACGCTCCGCGTGGAAGGTAAAGGCAATTCCTGATTTCTTTTGTAGCTCGGTATGCGGTTGTGTACATAGGCTAAAACGCAATTTTTTCAACGACCATCCCATTCTCCTGTGGCCGACTTCTAACAATCCGTCGGCCATGGGGGGTGCAAAGGATGCAGGCGACAGTCAGGTTTGCATGAGTGTAAATAACATGCTGACGCACAATGGTCAAGCCCGCCAATCGATAGATAGACAAAAGAGAGTTCGCAGCTTCCGTTGTTGCATGCTGTTGAGCAAGGGCTTGTTCATTGACTACAGTAGCACGATGCCAAGTGGAAACAGAAGCTAACACAGCACACCCGGAACAGGGGTCTACCTGTTTATATGTACAATGTTTAAGCTAATGCCGGCGTTACCATCATGGAGGAAAACAGTGTTTTTTGCATATTCCAAGGTCACTTCATGTTCTGTTTTGCACTCAACATACATACGTCATGCTACGTCTGAGGCGGGGGGGGGGGGGGGAATAACGTCCTGGTACCCCAAGGTCATGTTCTATTGCACTCCTTATACATGCGTCATGGTACGTCCGGGGTGGGGTGGGGTAATAACGTCCTGGTACTCCAACGTCATGTTCTATTGCATTCCACAGACATGCGTCATGGTACGTCTGGGGTGGGGTGGGGTAATAACGTTCTGGTTCTCCAACATCATGCATGTTCTACTGCACTCCACATACATGCGTCATGGTACGTCTGGGGTGGGGTGCGGTAGCAACGTTCTGCAGGGTACTCCAAAGTCATGTGCTATTGCACTCCCCATACATGCGTCATGGTACGTCCGGGGTGGGGTGCGGTAATAACGTTCTGGTACTCCAAGGTCATGTGCTATTGCACTCCACATACGTGCGTCATGGTACGTCTGGGGTGGGGTGCGGTAATAACGTTCTGGTACTCAACGTCATGTTCTATTGCACTCCGCATATATGCCTCATGGTGCGTCTGGGGTGGGGTGCGGTAATAACGTTCTGGTACTCCAAAGTCATGTGCTATTGCACTCCACATACATGCCTCATGGTACGTCTGGGGTGGGTTGCGGTAATAACGTTCTGGTACTCCAAGGTCATGTGCTATTGCACTCCACATACGTGTGTCATGGTACGTCTGGGGTGGGGTGTGGTAATAACGTTCTGGTTCTCCAACGTCATTTTCTATTGCATTCCGCATATATGCCTCATGGTGCGTCTGGGGTGGTGTGGGGTACTTAACATACTTAACTGTGTGCGACACTGCATCATGTTCTCTTGTGTTTCACATATTCATCATATGTGCTACTCTGCATCATGATCTCTTGTACTTAACATATTTACCATATCTGCTACGCTACATCACGTTCTCTTGTACTTAACATACTTTACAATGTGCTACGCTGCGAAAATTTTCTCTGGTACTTGACATACTTAACATATGTGCTACGCTGCATCATTTTCTCTCGTACTTGACATACTTAACATAATAAACAGTAATGACGGCGTTGCCTTGCTTATATGTGCTTTGTGGCCCATTGCTTTCCCAGTTCTCAGCTGAGGTCATTTCAGAAACATTTTCGGAGCCCGACAAGGTAATGTATCATCTTTACAATGCCCTGCTGGGGGGGCTGGAGCAGTACCGATTCTTCGAATGGAATTCCTTGGAGCTGGGTGGGCCATTGATGACTTGGGTTTACCTCATCGTGTTTTTCGCCAGTCTCATGTTGGTTGTGTCCATTGCAGGCCTCGTCTTGCTGCTCGGCTCATGCCGCCACCAAAAAAGTTTGCAGATGTTTGCAGTTTGTGGGTTGGCCTATGTTGGCCCTTTTGCGTGATGTTTCCAACTTTCACACCACCACCACCACCACCACCACCACAAACCAATTTCACCATGGAAATCGAGGCCCCAGAAACCGATTGAAGGTCCACGAGCCCACCCAGGTATCGTAGACACCCTGCGGAAATCCATGGCATATGGTTTTCTCGGCTGAGGATGTTGATGACCTGCGGGGCGGCCTGCCACTGCCGCCGTCGCTCTGAGCCAGCTGTCGCTTTCATCCAATCGCCGCAGGCGTTGGGATCCCCGGGCGTCGAGCTGGACAGCGTGGTCGGCCGCAGCTTAGCTTTCATCGAGATCGATATCCCTACGGAGGAGTCTCTTGGAATGTTGGAACATGATTGTCGGATATTGTCGGAACATGATTAGGAGCAATTCGGCACATCAATGATTAACATGTGACACCTGCATCTTCAAAATGATGTTAATAAATGTTTGCCTTTTGCTCGATAAGTGGGTTTTCCGACAGAACGACCTTTGTTTGGGCGGAACAGCGTTTTTTGAGAGTTTCCAAATAATTCCAAATATGTGTATATATATATATACATATTTACTAATTTGCTATATGATTTTGCAACGGCGACATTGCCCGACCAAACTCGACATTACTTGACCACATGGAGAAACATTTTTCGTAACGGTGTTTTTTTGCATTTTTCCCCACATCTTTGTGTGGGGTTCTTGTTTTTGATTCTGTATCCCGGGCTCCGCCTCCTCCGCCTCCTCCTCCTCCCGCCCTCCAACACTTTGTCCACACACACTTTGTCCACAGACACTTTATAACAGACTTTGTCCACACACACTTTATCAACACACACTTTGTCCACACACACTTTGTCCACACACACTTTGTCCACACACACTTTGTCCACACACTTTATCAACACACACTTTGTCCACACACACTTTGTCCACACACACTTTGTCCACACACACTTTGTCCACACACTTTATCAACACACACTTTATCAACACACACTTTGTCCACACACACTTTGTCCACACACACTTTATCAACACACACTTTATCAACACACACTTTGTCCACACACACTTTGTCCACACACACTTTATCAACACACACTTTGTCCACACACACACACAGACACACACACACACACATACACACACACACACACACGCACGCACACACGCACACACACACACACAGACACACACACACACACACCCACACACGCACGCACACACGCACACACACCCACACACACACACACACGCACACACACGCACACACACGCACACACACGCAGGCGTGGCACAACCTGACATCCACCTTCGTTTCACGTGGCAGGCGTGGCACAAACTCACATCCACCGTCGTTTTGCGTGGCAGGCGTGACACTTATGGTACTGGGTGGCGCCCTTGGGCCCGGATTTGGCGCCTGTGACGCCGCGGCACTTTGCGTGGCAGGCGTGGCACAACCTGACATCCACCTTCGTTTCACGTGGCAGGCGTGGCACAAACTCACATCTACCGTCGTTTTTGCGTGGCAGGCGTGGCACTTATGGTACTGGGTGGCGCGCTTGGGCCGGGATTTGGCGCCTGTGACGCCGCGGCACTTTGCGTGGCAGGCGTGGCACAACCTGACATCCACCTTCGTTTCACGTGGCAGGCGTGGCACAAACTCACATCCACCGTCGTTTTGCGTGGCAGGCGTGGCACTTATGGTACTGGGTGGCGCCCTTGGGCCCGGATTTGGCGCCTGTGGCGCCGCGGCACTTTGCGTGGCAGGCGTGGCACAACCTCACATCCACCGTCGTTTCACGTGGCAGGCGTGGCACAAACTCACATCCACAACAACTAGTCAGTGAAGTGAAATGGGTCATTTCGTGGCACAAACTCACATCCACCGTCGTTTTGCGTGGCAGGCGTGGCACTTATGGTACTGGGTGGCGCCCTTGGGCCCGGATTTGGCGCCTGTGACGCCGCGGCACTTTGCGTGGCAGGCGTGGCACAACCTCACATTCACCGTCGTTTCACGTGGCAGGCGTGGCACAAACTCACATCCACCGTCGTTTTGCGTGGCAGGCGTGGCATTTATGGTACTGGGTGGCGCCCTTGGGCCCGGATTTGGCGCCTGTGACGCCGCGTCACTTTGCGTGGCAGGCGTGGCACAACCTCACATCCACCGTCGTTTCACGTGGCAGGCGTGGCACTCATGGCACTTTCACACACCACTTTGTCACACACCATCTTTCACACACCACTTTGTCGCACACCATCTTCCACACACCCTCTTTTACACACCATCTTTGTAACACACCATCTTTTACACCCAACTTTGTCACACACCATCTTTAACACACCATCTTTCACACACCACTTTGTCACACACCACTTTGTCACACACCATCTTTCACCACACCATCTTCCACACACCATCTTTCAGCACACCATTTTTCACGCACAACTTTGACTTTGTCACACACCATCTTTGACACACCATCTTTCACACACCACTTTGTCACACACCACTTTGTCACACACAATTTCGACTTTGTCACACACCATCTTTGACACACCATCTTTCACACACCACTTTGTCACACACCACTTTGTCACACACCATCTTTCACACACCATCTTCCACACACCATCTTTCAGCACACCATTTTTCACACACAACTTTGTCACACACCATCTTTTACACACCATCTTTCACACACCACTTTGTCACACAGCATCTTTCGCCACACCACTTTGTCACACACCACTTTGTCACACACCATCTTTCACACACAACTTTGTCACACACTCTCTTTCACACACAACTTTCACACACACCATCTTTCACACACAACTTTTTCACAC